AGTAAATTAGATTATGTCCTTTTCCTGTTTAAAACCCTCCAACAGCTTCCACTTTCTCTTAGAACAAAATCTGCCCACCCTCCTGGCCATGGTCCACAGATTCCGCTGACCCACCCCTGCCCACCTGCCTTGACCTCCTCCAGCTTTCTTTCTCCTACCCCATAAGTTTCTTCCCAGCTTCTCAACACACCAAGGTCCCCCCCCCCACCTCCCATCAGCATGAAATGCTCTTCCCCGCTCCTTGCACACAGCCCCCTCCTCTTCTTCCGTCCAATTTTGGGATGAGACACCTCCTAAAGAAGCCCTCCCAGATTACCCTGTCTCAGGGAGCCTGGAGCCTTCCCCACCTCCGCATTCTCTATTATTCCCTTGTACCACTTGTCACAATTTGCAATTATACATCTATGACTTTGTTTACTTGTTTATTATCTGTCCCCACCCCAACAAAAGCTGTGAGCTTCACAAGGGAAGGGGCCAGAGCTGCCTTGCTCAGCCCTGTACACCCAGAGTCTGGGCCTAGTTAGATGCCCAATAAACAGGCATCTCCCCTGAGGTCCATCACCCCAAAGCTGATCAGAGAGTCCACCTTCGCAGCTTCCTCAGTCAGTTCCAAAAGCCATATCTGGAGTCTCAGAAGAGGACTTGGCAGGCACAGACACCCAGAAAGGCAGGATTCTGCCTCCCTGGCTAGTGCCCATGGCTGTAGCTATGCCAAGACACCATGCAGATCCCCTGCAGGGAACAACGCAGTGAGGGGCAGAGCAGGGCAGGACCTGTGGCTGCTGAGACTGTGCCAGGGGCTGGGCATTCTCACAGCAAACCATCCCAGCAGGCAGCAAGCAGCAGGCGGGCATGTGCCCACATCTGATGCTCCAGGAAAGAGAGAGATGAAAAAATAATCCAAGCTCGCCCCTCTGTCTGTGCCTTCTCAGTGTTGGGCTCTGGCAGGTCCCTGAGCCTGGCCCCATACACAGCAGCCTCAGCCAGGTCAGCCCTCCGTGGGGCACACCCCCCGCAGCACCCAGGCTCAGGACAACTTGACCTGGGTTCAAGGCGAGGAGTGGCCGCGTATGATTGGGTCTCACACACAGGGTTCTCAGAACTCAAATCATGGAATTGGATCGATGTGACCTCTCCTAGAAGTGCTGGCAGGGCAGGGAGTAAACGGCATCTGTGCCCAGCATCTGGGGTCTAGGCATTTCCTTGACCCCTTCAACATCCTCCCACATGGGTCCTGCCCCAAATTCAGATTCCCGTCTTCCTGCCAGCAGGCCGTCCAGTCACACTTTTGCATCTTCCTTCTTCCTCATCTCTCTCTCCAGATCTCATCTTGATTAAGTTCCACTTCACACAGGAAGCACTCCTGGATGCCCTGGGCCCAGGAGCTCCTATAGAGGCAGCCCTCTGCTCCCATCACTGCTCCTGGAGGTGGAGGTCGGCACCCCTGGGAGATAGGGTGGAGACCCGGTGAGTAAGGTGGAGTGCCGGCAGAAAGCAGGGCCATGTGTGTGCTGCGAGTCCAGCTCCTCCTGATCCTTAGCCAGTTGTGCGCTTCTGAAAGGAGGGGCGGGGGCAGGCAGGACCCATGCCCCCAGGATACGCTGGTCTGATGAAGGAGAACTAGCTACAAGGTCCAACCCTCCTGTCATTCAATCACTGAGCAAACCTGCACGAGGCTCTGGGCACTGCTTGGGCACTGGGGGTACCAAAGTGAATAAACCCAGCTCTGTTCCCTGGGCAGCTACTGGCAGAGATGACCACACAGTAACACTCCTGCACGCTCGCCTGTTCGGGGGCCCCGAGGTCCTGAGCAGCGCACCAGCGCGTGGAGGGAGCGCTCTGTGGTGGCAGTCCAGGACGCTGAAGGGGCCGCCTAGCCCAGCCTAGGAAGGCTTAGGGATCCTGGAGACAGATGCCCTGGAGGAGGGCATCTGTGCTGAGATGCAGAGTGTGACAGAGGCTGGCGAGGGGTGCAGGGAGGGTCTCGGGCAGCTGTCACTAAACCCCAGGAGCCCTGCCCTGCCACTCAGGAGCCTCCACGCATAGACTCTGCCTCCCCACTCCTGATCGCCAGGCCTATGGGGGGAGGGAACTTGGTCTCTTCAAAACTGTCCTAACACTGGCGCAGCAGCCCCCTTCCCCAGAGAGCCTCTGCGCCAGGCTCCACGGACGCCAGTGACATTTCCGCATGCTGCCATCTCCCAGCCGTGGCCCACCTAACTAGTCAGTGGGGACCAAGGCGGTCCCGGGAGACTCCCAGAAAGCCGAGAACTGAAAAGTTCAGGCTGGCACAAAAGCCCCATGGGGGGCGGGCATCTCCAGTGATGGGCACCCTGATGGTTTCTCCTCTCCTCCCACTGCAGCTCCTCCAACTTGGTGCCGACCTCAGGGCAGGGTGAGGCTGTAGGAGTGGCCCAGGCTGGGCCCAAAGCTCTGGCCCGGGCACAGCTGGGAGGGGAGACCAGGAAAAGGGAAGAAAGCATCCCTGAAACCACCCCCAAATGCACACATACACACCCCTGGACTGGAGGCGTATGAGAGAGGAGAGCCCCCAACACCAGGACCACTGAGGGATGCGGCAGAGCCACTCTTTAGGTCAGCGGGGCGGCCACCCCATCTGGCATTAAGCAGAGGAGAGAGAGAGAAGCCCCCACGCAGCCTCTTCTGGAGAGGGAAGCGGTGAGGATTCAGTCCCCACACACACCAATGCCAGGCCATCCACATGGGCAGCCATGCCCATCTCACCACACCCTTAAGCAGAAACAGTGTTGACCACTCTGCAGGTGAGCAAATTTAGCTCAGAAAGGTCATGTGACTTGCCCACCATCACACAGCCAGGAAGAGAGGGGCTTAAAATCAGGTCAGCATCAGCAGAAGGAGTTTTAGCCAGACACAGAAACGGTTGGAGAAAACTTCATCCCAGGAAGATGGTCCCAGGAAGGCTGGAGCCCCTTCTCAGGAGGCTGCTGGGGAGAACTGGGTGAATGGCTGAGGGCAGGGTCCTGCCCCGCTATTGACCCCGAGGGTCCCATTCCACTGTGATTCTCTTGGTCCACCAGGCATGTTCCATCAACCTCCTGGAGGGTAGGCTCGAGAAAAGCTGGGAAGTTCCTGATAATGGCTGGGGGAGGCTCTGAGCACAAGGCACCCATCCAAGGCTGCCTCCCCCAGCCCTGGCCACTCTGCAGCTCTGATCCCTCCCTGGGAGGCTCTAACCACCTGAGGCCACCAACGGAGACAAGGGTGCCCAGATCCCAGAAGAAAAGAGACCAGAAAGGATTAAATAGGGGAGAGGAAGAGCTCACCCCTAGTGGCCAAAGCAGCCAGCGGTGAACCCTGTCGGGCGGTTTTGACAGTGCTGGGCACCAGCTCATCCAGAACCTCCTTCTTGTGCAACATAATTACAGTTCTCACTGTGTAATGAGACGGTTTTTAAAGGCCATTCAAAAGAAATTTCCTATAATGAGGAGAAGGGGTTTATAGTATTATACATCAAGGCGGCTGGTAATTGGTGGGACCTGGGCTGTGTCCTGGAGTGGAGCAATGGGAGTTCCATGTCTAAAGACGAGGAGAGCAGGGGGAGGGATGCCAAACCCTGGGAGGTAAGACGGACACTTTGCCAGAAACGTGTCTGCAACACCAACAGGTGTCCTGGAAGAGCAGACAAGAGGCTGGGAGGCTGACAGAGCTGCGGCTGGACAAGGGAGAATCTCCAGGGTAGGGTCACAGAGGTGGGTTCAGGAGAAGGAAAATGAAGGTCCTGTTTGAATTGTGTCCCAGATTCATGTCCACCTGGAACCTCAGAACATGGCTTTATCTGGAAACAGGGTAATTAGCCACTGCAGACGTAATTAGCTAAGATGAGGTCACGGTGGATTACTGTAGGATCTTGTCCAATGACTGGTGTCTTTATGAAAGGAGGGAATTTCGGACACAGACGCACTAACAGGGAAGAACGCCCTGTGAAGATAGACATAGGACTAGAATGATTTTTCTACAAGCCAAGCAATGCCAAACAACCACCAAAAGCTGGTAGAGGCAAGAAATTTCCATCCCTAGAACCTCCAGAGAGAGCAGAGCCCTGCCAACACCTTGATGTCAGACTTCTAGCCTCTAGAACTCAGAAAATAAGTATCTGTTGTTTTAATCCACTAGGTTTGTGGTACTTTGTTATGGCAGCCCTAGGAAATTAATACAATGACCATTCTAATAACTGCAACTATCCAGCAATTTAAAAGGTAGCCTCAAAAGGTGATGAGCACCCCGCCTCTAGAGGTGTGCAAGCAAAGCCAGGAGTGTCCCCATCTCCCCCTACACTCTGAACAGATGCCGGGGCAGGTTCACACTTAGTCCTCCATCTGACCCCACTGTCTGAAGTCCAGAGTGCTGGAGGCAAGAGTTATTATTCCCATCCCCAGATTTGGAAACTGAGGCTGAGAGAAGGTAAACAACCTGCTCAAAAGCACAAGGTAACCAGTCAGTGCCAACGACAGGCCTGGAATCCTGGAACGCCAACGCCAACACCAGTTCTGGGCTCTTTCAGGCTCATGACCCTGAGTCTTCCTTCTGTGCCTCCCCTGTCTCTAGATTGAACTGCAGTTCAACATCCTGAAAGGCAGAGAAAAACCCATGGTCTCCCAGGACCCAGATGTTCCAGACTGAGAATGGAACACTGCTGAAACTCTGGCCCAACTCTAAACAGAGGCTTCCAAGCAACACTGGCTGCCCACTGCATCCTGGTGCAGTCACCAGCCCCTCACAGCATCTGGCTCAAGGAGGCGCTACCCTGGCCCACAGACCCTTACTGAGCACCTACTACGTGCAAAGCCCTTGGCACAGTGTGGGGTGGGAGTGAAAACCAGGGAAGGCAGGATATTGCATCCCCTTGGGGACCCAGAGTTCATGCGGATCAGACCACCCAGCAAGATCTCACAAGGTGTCCCCAGACCAAGTGTGACCTCTGGGTGGACATCCTATGCCCTCTCCTGGGGCCTCTGGAGAAGTCAGCTGAAGGATGGGAAGCAAGAGTATGGTGTTCTCCAGCTCCTCCCAGGCTTCGAGCGCCGGCAGGCTGCACCGCATCCCCACCTGCGCCTGGCACTTGGCTTGGCTCCGTTACCCCAGGAGCTAGAGAACAGCGAGGAGGCCCCCAGCTCTGGCACCAAATGGAGCGTGAGCACAGCCAAGCTCACCAGCCAGGGTGGCCTGCTCTAAATGCTGGCTAATTGGCACTGCACGGCGGAGCGACGGAAGGAGTGGGCTTTGAAGTTACCTGGTGTGACTTGTCCAGCGGGAACAATGGGCCACCCAGCTCGGTGAAGAGTCTCGGCTCTTTCTAATTAGGTGTCGCTTTGAACACGGAGGCCTCAGATTAATGAGGTTTACGGTGCTCAGTTTCACGGCATGGCGGGCTGCCGCTGTTCTCTGATCGCAGTTTGATGCCAAAACCTTGTTCTCTAAATCAAAGCTTCTCCCAAAACTCTGCTTTCTGACGTGCCTCGAGTTTCTGCAGGGTGTCTCTGCCAGGGAGCTAAGAGCCTTCACCTCCATCGCATCACTCCCGGCACTGGCTTCTGTTTTGCTGAAGAAGACTTCACAGGGCCATGACACCTCCCACAGCCCGCCTGGGAGGGTCAAGGAGCGGCTGGGGCTAGCCCCGTTTTGCACCGCTGGCTCGCCCAGCGCACCCCTGGGGGGCCAAGAGCCCCCCTCCAGCCTGCAGGCCCCTCTGCCTCAGCTCTTGGCGGCTTCAGGCGTGCTGGGCCACAGAGAATCCACTGGCCAATTTCCCGCTGTTGGCATCTGTTCACAAGCCTCAGGGACATCTGGTTCACCAGTCTTGGAGAAGATTGAGACATTGTGGGAGCCGGCCTGCAAGGCCTCACTCTCTGCCTCTTCTGCTCTAACAGAAGCCTCCTCCCCACCCCTGCTCTGGGCCTTTGCTCACAGCTCCTCTCCTCTCCCTCCCTGGGAAGGGCCCCTCTCTCTAAACTCATAGCGCCCTTCAAATCCCAGCCCTGCCCCTTGCTCCTCCTTCACCACCACAGACACCAGACCTTGTTTCCCCTTCTGAGATCCTCCAGCCCCACATCCATCACCTGGAGCAAGTGTTTCTTGCTGTGTATTCCGTTGTTTGATGCTGCCTCCTTGGCTCATGATTTTGTCCTGCCTCCCCTGTGATGCTGTCCCCCGAGACAGGAACAGTGTCTATGTCACCTCAGTGTCCCCCCCACAGGAAAGACTGGCTGATAGTAAAGAGCCTACCCTCCCTGGGTGCTCCAGAATGCACCAAGAGGAAAGACGCCATCCTGCCTCAGTTTCCCCATCTTCCAAATGGGAACGAGGGCCTCACCCTACTTCCTTCTAGGGCTGCCGGAGCATCCAGGCTGACCCTGACAGATCCATGTGTTTGGGGGACGCGAGGCAGTGCAGTGGGTGGGCTACACCTGGAGCAGGGGGACGGGATCTGGCCGGGATGCTAGGGACCCCTGGAGACTGGACAAGCCAGTTTCTCGCTCTGAGCCTCAGTTTCCCTAAATATTAACAAGGGTGGCTCCAGGACTCACAGGATGCATATATTCACTCACTCAATCCTCATGACCACCTGTGGAATATATACTGTTATTAGCTCCATTTCACAAATGAAGCAAGGCCCAGACAGATTTTAAAAAGCAGCTTATTGGTAGGAGGAGGCAGAAGAACTCAATTCTAGGCAGCATGTTAGATCCTGAACCTGCCTTCTTCACCACTGCACTGACTTTCAAGGAGGCTTCAGCTAAGCTTCCACAGAACCCATCATTTCTAAACTTGCTTAACCTCTCAGGCCTCTGTTTCCCCATCTGAGGGGTGGGTATACAGTGACATTTATAGACAGCTTCTGCTAGGTCATCTATCTGCAGGCTGAAGTGCTCCCCACTCCTCTGAGCCCCTTCCAGACCTCAGCTCCAAACCTCTCCCCCCTAGAATTTTCCTGCCCCTTGGATGCCTACCCCATCGACTACCTCCACCATCTCTTCCTTCCACCTTCCTGGCCACTTCTCCTCATCCACCTAGAGGCTCCCATCTTCCTCTGAGCCTCAGCCCTTGTCATCCTCTAGGTGACCTCCCCATGCTAGGGATGACCAACACTGGGGTTCCCTGCTCCCAGACCTTCTGCCTCCAGTGACCTTTGGCCTCCACGTCCGCCAGCTCCCATCCTGGGCCACAGCCGGCCCTTGTCTCCACCACAGCTTCCAGTCAAGCCTCCTTGCCCGGCCCACCTGTGCCTCTCCTTAGCCCTCTTACCACAACTTTCTCATCACCCTGAGATCTTCACACCTCCCTCTTTCTCTCACTGCTCTTCTGTCCTCACCCTCTTTGTCTAGTTTGAGTTCCATGATCCATCATTATAATAAATCCCTCAAACGCGTTGCCTGCCTCTCTCCTTTGGCAGTACTTTCATGAAACCCATATCTGGAGGAATCCAACTAGCACCTTCTGGGCACCTAACACTGAAAATTCAGATGAGCTTGGAGAAAATGAGCCTGCCATGCACACCATCCTCTCTGTGAGCTCAAACTCTCAGACCTCGAGTGGTCCCAGCACTGCCCAGCAGGCCCAGCTCGTGTCATGGACTGGCTCACTTCCTGCCTTCCAACATGGCCATGTCTGCCCTGTCATAAAGCACCAGAAGTGAACTCACTCCCTGCCCACTGCAGATTCCAGAAGCCCACTTTCTTCTGCTGGTATCCCCTCTTCCTGCCTGAGGAGGGGCCATGCTGCCTGTCAAAGGTCCATTGCTCCACTTGGACTCTGAACCCATCCCTTCTGGTCCCAGGAGTTTGGCTCCCACCACTGCAATGTCTCCTGGCATCACCCGTCTTATCACCTGTTGGATCCACCATCCTCCCCCATCAGCAGTCATGTTCTGCTATCTCTTGTCCTTTAAAAACCCCTTTCTTAATTATGCTGAGTTTTTAAAAAATTCAATCTCAGATGATTCTATAGTGTATGACTCTATTCATATAACACTCACAAAGTAACAAAACTACTGAGATGGAGGATAAAGTAGTGGGAGCTGCAGGGGAGGGACCATGGGGAGGGGTGGAGTAGCCCAGGGAGCCTCCTGGTGATGGAGCAGTCTGAATCTTGACTGTGATGGTGGTTCCAAAACTACACATGCAATGCAATTACACATTGCACTGTAATGTGTAACTGATCAGTTACACAATTAATGTGTAACTGATGTGCTCACATATACACACACACACATACAACTGGGAAATCTGAATGAGATCTATGACTTGACCAATGTCAGTGACTTGGTTTGATATTTGCTGTGTATTAGAGTTACACAGAACATTACCACTGAGGGCAGTCAGGTGGAGGGGTATCCAGGACTCACCTAGACATTCTTTGAATTTTCCTGTGACTCTCCCCACTCCAGCCCCTACTCCATCCACTGCTTTTCCTCTCTTCACACCATTTCTAGGAAGAGCCAGCTACTCTTTCTCCCTTCTCTCTCCACCCATTATCTTCAACCTACTTAAAGTTGGATGCATTCACCCCTTCATGACACTTCTCTCTTCCCATCCTGGCCTCCTTATTGTCAAAAGCAAAGGTCTCTGCATCTTACCCACCCTCACAGCATCCTCAACCATGGCTGTTTTTATCCTTCTATTTGGAACCCTCTTGGCTTCTGGGGCTGACCTCATGGCTCAGCTGGTAAAGAATTCACCTGCAATGCGGGAGACCTGTGTTCAATCCCTGGGTTGGGAAGATCCCTTGGAGAAGGGAAAGGCTACCCACTCTAGTATCCTGGCCTGGAGAATTCCATGGACTGTATAGTCCATGGGGTCGCAAAGAGTTGGACACAACTGAGTGACTTTCACTTGGCTTCTGAGATGCCACACTATCCTGGCTTTCCTTGCTGTCCCTGGGTGTGCCCTGTCAGCCTCCTATGCTGATTCTTTCACCTCCATCCACTCTCCATGCGGGTGAGCCTAGGCCCCAGACCTGGGTCCTCTCTCTCCACCATCCAGATCTCTTCCTGGGCGAGCTGTGCCTATGTCCACAAACACCACCTACAGCCACTGGTCCCCGGATCTCCATCCCTGCTCAGTCCTCTCCCTGATCTCCAGCCTTGTGAACCCAAACATCAGTGGACATTTCTGCTTCAGGAGGTAGTCAAAATGAAACTCCCATCTGACTCCCAATCTCAAACCTCATTTGGTCCTCCCCATCTCAGAAAATGGCCACAGTGGCTCAAGTCAGGAATCAAGGGGACCCCTTGCTTCCATCATGTCTTTCTCCCAGTTCTCTTTTCTTTCGGGGGGAGGGGACACCACATGTTTTGTTGGATCTTAGTTCCCCAACCAGGGATTGAACTGGGGTCCTCTGCAGTGAGAGTATAGAGTCCTTAACCACTGGACCAGGGAATTCTCCCAACTCTTAGTTCTGCCTCCAAGCTGAGTCTAAAATCATCTTCCTCTCTCCATCTCCATGGCTACCACCTTGGCCCAAGCCTCCATCACTTCTCTGCCTTACCCTCCTACAGCAGCCAGAAAGCTCTTTAAAAATCATAAATCAGATCTGTCGGTCCCCGGCTTAACCCATCAGGAGCTAGCTGGTCATCCCCCTTGGAAAACATCACAGTTCCTCCGCACAGCCAGGGTACCAGGCAATCACTCTCATGTAAGACCCCTCCCTCCCACCACACAGCCCCCTCTTCCACACTCGGGGCCTTCTACAGGTGCACCCTCACCTGAGAGGGGCCTGGGCCCCATCCCACAGGTGTCCCTATTCACCCCATCACTGCACCATCAGCGATTTCAGACCCCTGTGCACTTTTATTTTGTTAGCGTCTTCATTACCCACCAGCCAGAGGGAGTTTGCACATCACTACCTGTCACATAGTAGGCACTCAGTCATGCTTGTCAAGTGAATGAGTGAGAGCTCCCTGGTCTCTGCGCCCCCGGCAGCATCCTCTCTCCCCCGATGAGGCTGGCTTGCCTGTGCATGGGGGGAAGGTGCACGTGCCTATAAATATCCACACGATCTGCTCTCCCCAAAACAGTAACTGACACCCCGATGACTCGACGACAGGATAATTCCCCCACATCTTGCTGGAAGCTGCTTCCAGCGGTAAAAGTTTGCTGTTTTATGGCCCCGAGAAGACATCAGCTATATAACGGGCTAAAATTATAACCTAGTACACTCATCTGTTTAAATACTCT